TTCAAACAATCCGATTTTGACCCATGTCTTCTTTACAAGAAAGGCATGATGGTGGTTCTGTATGTTGATGATGCTGGAATCGGTGCCAAAGATCCAGCAGACATTGACAAGCTCATTGAGGAACTCATAGAACTCCAATTTGAACTAAAGAAAGAAGGCGATTTCAATGAGTTTCTTGGCATAAAATTTGACAAACGCAAAGACGGTTCAGTTGAACTCACCCAGACTGGTTTGATTGACAAAGTTTTGGAAGCAGCCAGAATGACTGACTGCAATCCCAATCGAATCCCCGCTACTGGTCCCCTTGGCAAAGATCCTGATGGTGAACCTATGAATGAAGAATGGAACTATCGATCAATTGTCGGAATGTTAATGTACCTCTCGACAAACACACGACCAGACATTACCTTTGCTGTCAGCCAAGTGGCACGATTCTCCTCTGAACCAAAACAATCTCATGGAACCGCTGTGAAAACAATTCTTCGTTACCTGAAACGCACTTGCACAAAAGGCATGATCATCAAACCTACCGGAAAACTGAACCTTGATTTGTTTGTCGATGCCAACTTCTGCGGACTCTACAACACCGAACCTCACACTGATCCAAACTCCGATCGATCACGCACCAGGTTTATTGTCAAGTTGAGCAATTGTCCACTGATTTGGCGCTCCCAGCTACAAACATCCATCACTTGCTCCACGCTCGAGGCCGAATACAATGCTCTCTCTTCTGCTCTAAAGACCTTAATTCCATTGAAGCGTCTTCTCATTGAAGCCACCGACCACGTTGAACTCAACAACGGCATCCGCGCCACCATTTGGGCCTCAGCTTTTGAAGACAACCAAGGAGCATATTTTCTGGCCACCAATCAAAGAATCACATCTCGCACCCGCTGGTATCTCAACAAGTGGCACTGGTTCTGGCAACACGTCAAGGACGGTGTTGGCTCAGAAACTGTTGCCATCCACGAGCTGGACACATTGCTCCAAGATGCTGATTACTTCACAAAGGCACAGTCTTGTGAACCTTTCAAGAGCAATCACTTTTGAGTGCAAGGGTGTATATTCGCATCGAGCAGAGAGACATAGACAACTCCGGTTGTTGAACTCGCCTGCTCACCAGTGAGATGGAATATCTTTCAGATCTATTTGTTTCGCAAATTTTCAGTGATGATGTTTTGTGTTGAATTCCGGATGAGAGGAAGAGTCAAAAGTCGTCTGTTTGTCCATCAGATGATAGCCGTTTTGCTGAACGTCTGCACCCCAATGGCTAACGTATCCAAAGTATCTTATACAGGTATCAAGATTACCAATCTTGGCTACCATCTTCCCTCGCTAAGCCTCGCCACATCCTCAACGTTATTAAGACTAAGCATCGCCATTGCATGCGTTGAGATGGTCGGAGTTTCATCCTGTTTGCATCCTTCACAACACAAAATCACTATAATTTTCAGAATACTGTTTTATCACACATCTTTCGGACATTTACAACTATTTCAGTACTTGAAGCACGACAAGCCTGGACAACCTTGTGCCTGCATTCTCAAGTAATCAAGGCTGTACACGCTACAGCTTTGAGTCATCGCGACATATCCGGGTTCAAAGTGCTTAATTTTTGATTTTCAAAAACTATTGGTCTGCCCTCCCATCCTGCTCACATCTGATGGAAATTCTGCGATGATATTGGCAACACGTAGCGGCAGTAGGAAAAATACGGGGATTTTCAAAAATACCCGACCCTATTTATGACACATGAGCCAATTTTAAGAGACCGTTTTGGAGAAAACCAGTTGCAAAAATGACAGACGGTTTCAGGGGAAATTTGCTGGGAGTTATTTTGATTATGGGGGGAGAAACCGTTATTTCTGTCACGTAGAATATGTACCAAGTCTTAAGTATGTAGAATATCCTACCTCTTTTTCGTACAAATGATGGGATTTAAATAGTTGTTGTCATCCCGCGGGTCACATTTTCACGAAAACTCCAACCGTTCTAACGGCATGATGGCATTCAAACCTGTTCGAAACGTCTACAAGTCTCAAAACAATCACAGCAACAATTAATCTTTTATAGTTATTGATATAGTTCACCCTAATCTTCGCCAGCTGCAACACACACATGATCAGATTGTCATTGTTCCTCTTGATAATCTTTCTTTTCAAACCATCAACCATCATGGGGAGGAATACTCCATGCGAGTCCAACTCTTGTTTGTGGAAATTCCCAAGGCAGAAAATCTTGAGAGAAGATATGTGTCGAGCGTGTAAGAAGCTGGATGGGAAAACTCAGTTTTACTTGGCCAGTCACAATATTGCACACAAAAGTGTCTGCCACGTTTTGCACCCACACCTTTGGCAAGCGACAGAGGAGGATCCGTCCAATCCAAGTGAGAACCGTCACCAAAAGCGAAATCATACCTGGACGGATCGGTACGAAGCTTTTCCGTCAAAAGGAGCACACCAAATGTTGTGCAATCGACCTGATGCTGCTCGCAAGAGAAACAGATTGAGAGAGCAAACTCGAAGTTTTCTCAATTGAATCCTAATAATTACTGGGAGACTTACAAGAAAGCTAAGGGCGAAATTATCAGCACCATTCTCTATCTGCTTGATATTTCTGTAAAGTTTCAGATCGCATCGAGATGTTCACTGTAAGTATTGCAGCGTCTTGGGGAAACAACCTGCGTGCAGAGGCTCGAGCTGTAAGAGAAGAGGAAGAGCTTGCCCGAATCCAGGAACTTGCAGCCTCTGAGAATGACTAGAAGTGAAAATTTTGAAACAAAAAGTCACAGTTTAGAAAGTGGCTTAATTTTTATTGTTATTTAGTTTTTCTTGAAAAATTATGGTT